ATCAGACGCCTAACTAAGACTCGTGAACTGCAAACACGAGAGAATCAAGCTGGCTTCAGACCTGGTCGTGGCTGCATCGACCACATATTCACCATTCGTCAGGTTCTAGAACACAGGCATACCTATCGGCGTCCGACAACGATGGTCTTTCTTGACTTAAAAGCAGCATTTGACTCTGTAGACCGCGAGATTCTGTGGCAGTGTCTGTCATTGAAAGGCGTACCTCAGAAGTACATAAACCTTGTGAAGGCTCTTTACTCGAACACTACTAGTCGAGTCAGAGCTTATGGCGAACTGTCATCTACTTTTGCAACCTCAAGTGGTGTCCGTCAAGGCTCCACTTTCTCCATTTTTGTTTAACTTCATCATAGACCTATTGATGGAAATAACATTCTCGTCGACTGAATTCTCGGGTATTGATCTCCTTCCAGGAGGTCCACTTATCGACTTAGAATACGCAGATGACATAGTCCTGTTTGGTGAAGACGCTGACAAAATGCAGAGTCTTTTGGTAGCACTAAGCAACAATGCCAGAATGTTTGGAATGCGCTTCTCTCCCTCTAAATGCAAGTTGTTGCTTCAGGACTGGTCTGCGTCAACACCTGAACTAAGGATAGGGAGTGAAGTAGTCGAAGGCGTTGACAACTTCACTTATCTTGGAAGTCTGATCAGCCCTAATGGGTTGGTGTCTGACGAAATCTCAGCACGGATTCGAAAAGCTCGTTTGGCTTTTGCCAACTTACGTCACCTATGGCGAAGGCGAGATATCCGTCTATCAATAAAAGGACGAGTATACTGCGCGGCAGTTTGTTCTGTTTTTTTACGGCTGCGAAACATGGCCATTAAGAGTAGAAGACACTCGTATTTGACCACAAATGCCTTAGAAATATTGCTGGCGTCTGCCGGGATCACCGGCTGAGTAATAGTGAGGTTCGACACAGGGTATTAGGGAATGATGATAATTCAGTTGATTGGGTTGTAAATCTTCATCGACTGAGATGGTTGGAAGAAAGTTAGAGGCGGCCAAACCAAAACGTGGCATCAGTGCCTGAAGTCACTAACTTCTAGTCTGAGCCATGTTGGTAGATGCAGACTACTTGGTTGGGGTCCGCGTGACTTTCGTAACCAATGGTTGGAGACCCTTGGTGACATGGCTCAGAATCGATCACAATGGCGTCGGTGTATACACTCTCTGTCTTCTCTTAAACTAAGAGATTAAAATCGCTTCATATCTTTCTTTCTACGAACTAATTCTTTTTTCCTGTACTATATCCTTATATGCAATCTTTCTTTTATATATTACCACCTCTGAATTAACTACTTTTATGAATCCGGTGTCATCTTGTTGTGTCAATGAAGTATGGCAACTTGGACCGATGCATGTATGTGCCCGGTCCTATGTTGTAGCTGACTGACTGATGAGTTGGCTTTACTGCAATTCTGGAAAATATTCTTTGTCTCAGCTTATATATGTAAATAGAGAGTGACAGATGCGAACAAAAATAGATAAATATGCATATATATTACACCAGTTAACAGCAGGAATAATGTATCAATAAATACATCATAATCAATATCATCACTGCTAAACATTCAAGAGTCAGATAAGGTCATACAACAGTTTTTAACACTGTTATATAAATTCAGAGTACGATTTTTGGTCTGAATGCTAATGATGTAAGCCATATGTTCGCTACAAAATATTCATGATTTGTGTCAATGTTTGTTTGAGAACACTGAATGAAATTACTAGTTTTCAGTGTCAAACTCCACAGATGACCATACAACACGAACGAATACAAGCATAATGTCTACCTATATTTGTAGTAAAACACAGTAACCAAATAGCTTCCGGTCTTAAAGCAAACTTAGTTTGGTTTCTGATTGATTGAAGCAACATTAAATTTTGTACCATAGTGAACTATATTATACAGATGGATATCAGATTGATGCAAGTAACTGAATCAGACAATTGCTTTTAAGGACTGCTAGATAGACCGTGATACAGTGAAACTTACAGTTTTACATATTGCTATGATAATTAGAAGTATTTGAATTATAGTAAAAACTAGGAATCCCAGAAATAATATAATTGGATCAAGAAGTAATAGATAGGCACTAACGAATGTACTGTATTTGGAATTAGAAATCAAGCATTCAATAAGTACAAATGAATGATTACTCATATAAACACCACAACTGCTCAAATCTTCAGTCTATTACACCAAACTGGTGAGCTGTACAGGCTTTATTCAAATTTTTCTTACTTCATTCACTTTGGTAACATGATACTGATTATTCACAGAACATCTTTGGGCCCGCCGATTCTTGCTTTGTTTGACATTTAATACAAGCATATTACATCCACACAACTATATACTCATTTTGGAATACGATATCTGATAGAGTACTTGAATGTCAAATACATTTATTCAACTCTTGTGACTAAGTTTTGCCCAGCTATTACTCCACTAAAATGCAATCACTGATGATTCCAAGTGTCAGTGTAGACATAAATCAAGTTCAGTTACTAAGAGGTTTCATTTTAGTATTAATTCAATACTATTATTATTACAATCTAGTCGTATGCATTCAATCTGATTATGCTTTTATTGTTTATTACTGCTGTACATTCCAGTCTGTTCAATTACATAAATATACATCCAGAAATATTCGTATTAGAGTTTTTAATCAATCCATTCGTTATTAGTAATCAAGTTAAAGATAACAAACAACAGTTTCACTTTTTTAAACCGAAATACAGTATAAGTTTTTTCTCATCGTTGAATGGGTAGTATACCAGACACGGACTACATGACTAAAAACCACTGGCAACAAATAACTACAAAAAGTTCGTCAAAAATTACTTTAAGTAATTAAAACGACGATATATAATAGTCACTGTCAATCATATAGGATTATCAAAGTTTAAATCACGGACTGACACTAGCTAAACCACCATTGAAAACCTGCAATCACTGGACAGTAATTGTCCCAGACATAATAGGACTTTATGTTAATTCAAGCTCCGAAAAACGGTATACCTATTAACATAATTGCTGCAGTTGTATTACGTTATATTTGAAGCTTTAGTGACTGAATGAATGCACAAAAGATGTGGCAGTGATATCAAAAGAATTCAGTGTGCAGACACGATTTCAAAACACGCTGAAATGTTAATGGTCATTGAGGAATAGTCAGTTGCAGTTAACATAACTTAAGTCACTTCGCATCTTAGAGTTAGTTGACAAATTTCTCCTATCCTATTAGATACAGTGATAGGTATCTTGTGATATAACTGATTTGTCACGAAAATCACAGAACGAACCGATTCAGTCCTTTGATAGCAAACATAAGCCATAGTGATGCCCAATAAGCCTTCAATGCGATACTTGGTCTTGGTGGCAGCACATTTGTCTCTTGGAAGCACATAAATCCTAAAGAGATACTAAAAGTAAACATTTATCGTCAGCCAACTACACGAAGCCAATACATGTATTTTTTAGCTTTTCTCCATTGAAATGCAAGCTAAATCAGGTTCAATTACACATCCAGAGAGAGACTAAGACGAATCTACGATTTCCCTAAAAAGCGGATTTGTGGCAAAGTTTCTGGTGAAATACGTCCTAAGCAAAATGAAATTATCAGAACTGCCCAAAAACGTCTAGTTTAGAAATTATAGATGACATAACTAGTGGAATAGTAATAAAAATTATAGGAAAGGCCTCGTAATAAACATTCACTGCAACAAAGTCATTCTTTTCCACGCGAAAACAGTATGTCCACAAATTAAAGACAAACTAGGTTTGCTGCCTGGTTATTCACCACTTTAACTCATGTGAAGAGATTTTTATTGAGAGCACATCCAGTTAAATAAGTAATTACTTTCCCAAGCTCTGAACTTCATAGTTGAACAAACAATGAAAAATGAGCTGTACGCTGGAGCATCTACAAATATTGGTCATCGCATCTTCACAGTGTTAGCGTTTAGAGTTTTCTGTAAAACTGTGTCAAACTTACTCCAGCCTTTCAGAATGTCTTACAGCTGGAGAATGAATATACATAAATAAATCTGATATTTGCTTACAGAAACCGCTTTTGAAGTCTCCACGCGTGGCCCTCTAATCAATTACTGTCATTCCTCTCAATTTCAGTTCCTTATTTTATAATTATTCAATTTTCTGACTTTATTGTCTAATTTTCTTTGGATTATTCCCACAGATAACACTAAATATTTATATCCGACTCCCTCATTTCAAACTCAAATCTCATTCGTATGTGGCTAGTCGTAATGACTAACCCGGTTAGACAACTTTGTACTCGTTCTAACTTTTCATCTATTCAGTTAATAAATGATTCTTATTTTTAGACAAAATACTGGGATATATTGTTAGTTGGACTTACCTTTATTTATTCTGTATTAATTTTATACTTAACTGCAAACCCGTATATTAGTGTTGAACGATGATCAGATAATAACTGAACAATATCTCTTCGACCAACTTGTATTGGTATTATCTTACTGGTAATAGCCAACAAGAAAAGGAGTACTGAAGATATGCCCGAAGTAAAACGCTACATAATTCGTCACTAAAACGTATAACACTGACCATGAAAGAGAATTACCATACCAGAGAAAGCATGATAAATTCCCTCGTAACAACAGGTTCATCTCATTAACGAGTACCAGTAGATATGAAATCTAAACAAATAAAAAACCTCCCAAAAACTACCATACACAAATGTATGAATTTTAAAACATCAAAATCTTTCTTACAATGGACCTCTAGACAAGTTATTATCAAGATCCTAAAAAAAATCACGTCGCTCTAGATAAGAAATTAGCTTCACTGTTCTATTTAATGAAACTCTTTGTGTCGTTTTTATTTTATTTAAATAGTTTTCTAATCTCAAATTGAATTATATAGTAGTAGGTTCCATCTCATTACACCTAACTGACTAATATTACCATCCACCATCATCCAAAAAGCAACACATTTTTAATAAGTACGGTATTTTTGGTTAAAGTTGATGGAATCGTTTGCTAAAATCTACAATGAAGATTAACAGACACAATTATCACAGTAAAGATAACTAAAAAATCGAGAAAGTTATCAATGAAAATGTAGAGTAAATAACACTAATCAGCAATCTTAATTTAAAAGAACTAGGTACAAAAGTTTAAATCAAAACTTAATAAAATGCTAGTAAAGAAACAAAGGTGACATGAAATTAAATAAAGAGGAAATACGATAACAAAAGGTTGAAATACTCTTTGAAATTACGACTCACTTTGTTGAGAGAAACTACTTTCTATTTCACGCATAACTCGAAGAACGGTCTCTTCATGATACGGTTTACCAACCACTTGAATAGACAGTGGTAGGTTTTCTCCTCCATTTAATAGTCCGTATACTTTGGACATGTAAGAATCACCAGTAGAATACAGTGATTCAGATTTCATTAATGAATTTCGAACATCGTCTTCGGTGACAAAGCCAGCTGGGACAGCTCCAGCAGGATAGTCCAGAATATTATACAGGAAAGTGTAGATAATGGATGGAGATATATATACTTGTAAGGCATCTTCTGGTGGTGCAGGATAAGGAAATACAGGACATATTAACGCATCCAGTGGGCCTGCATTATTCCAAGCTTTTGCAAATTCGTATCGGTAAGCTTCGATTTCAGAAATTAAATTAACTGCTGCCTGACCACTGCCAAGTTTCTGGAACGCACCTAATGGGCAGACCGGTTTACCAATGAAATGTTTAGAAATAAACCCGACAATAGGTTTCAAAATGTCTGGAATTCTAGTAACAGTACTGATAAGTTTATTATGCGGACTGAGTGGTTCCCCTCGTAGATGACTTCGAAGTTCCTGACCACCATCTGCAAACAAGGCATGCAAACCAAGTATAAAGGCTTTATAAGGATCAGGAACTGTGAACTTTACAAGTCGATGTCCAGCACTTTCTAACGCTTTGGCTGCTTTTTCTACAACTTGCTGATTTACGTCCAAGACTTGAATGAGATTTGGGTCGTCGAAGTTAAGATAATAACCGATCACCAACTGGTTTCTGCTCTTCCCTTCATAAGACACTTGGTCAAAGCTCATCGGTATAACATACGGATCTAAATCAAACATTGTAGGGCACAATAACGCACGCATCACACAAGCTAAATCGTCCACCTTTCTAGCCATAGGTCCTAGGCAAGGCGATAAATACAATACTGATTTCTTGGCAGCCGATACAAAACCTAATACACTCAGTCTCCCAGAAGTTGGTTTCAAGCCAGCTAAATTACAAAATGCGCAGGGTATTCGGATACTACCGGCGATATCTCCACCTATACCTACAGGAGAACCATGCTGTGCCAATAATACAGCTTCACCCGAAGAACTCCCACCCGGCAACCTGGATTTATTGAATGGATTTTTTGCATCATTATAAATACTGTGAAAGCTATCCAGTGTGCGACATAACTGAGTTGTGACGGTGGTCACAAAAGGAATTGAACCAACACTTCTCAGTACCTTGATGAGTACACAATCCTCATCTACAGCTGATTACATCGTTTTATGATACCCATAGTGACATCATAGCCACGTATCGCGATCCCTTCTTTTACGCTGATAGGGATTCCGTATAATCCGGACTGTTCTTCGATATTCATTGGGGATTTCGTCAAGTTGGCAGCGTACTCTTCTGCTTCTAAAATGAACTCAGCAATGCCTGAATTATTATTATCCTGTAATTGTAATGCTCTGAACTGAAATGCATGTAGAACATCCACGGGGTCATTCTCTTCTTTTTGATTTGTTCACAAAGATAGGATAAATTCTCACTACAAACAGCCATAGGTATAGATGAGTGAGTCAATTTGGACAAAATTTTCCTCATTTTCTCCGTGTTATCAGCAATACGCATCTGCTTTGATTTTAACAGTTTCTGATTTTGATATGTACGGATACAAGTTATTATTTTCCATGATATCAATCCAAGACTCCACGCCACAAGTAAATGTCTAACTGGGTGTCGCATAAGTGAGATGAAATACTCTTTGGATACTATGAGCACAGAATAAACTCCTGAAGTTACCATCTGCAAAACAATGAAAAAATTTCGAAATTATAAACTGGATCTATATCGACAAAGTATTAGCGTTCTTTAACAATACTTATCATTTATTTTAAATATCCCTTGATAAAGGGATGATGATATGTTTCGCAAGACAGAAAATCAACATAAGTTAGACACAGAGTTTGATCGGCACGGTCATTTAGGTTTTTAGCATGTGCTGTAGTTTTTATCAAGCCACTGGTTAACTTAGTGTTGTGAAAGAGTTGATACAACCATTAGATCTCTACGTCTTAAGATCGATTTAGCAAGGGATTCGCACTTTGTGGTAAGAAGTGGCAAACATATGAAAGCACAAATTTTCACATCCCCATCCCTAAGAAGTCTTAGAAATGTAGTAGAAATTTTGGGTTTTTCTCCAATGTCATATGAAAATCTGCAGTTTTTTCTCCAAACGATCGTTTGGAGAAAAATTTGGGTTCCGTAGTCTTGTTTCCAGAAAGTTTTTAATTGTTGTTATCCCGGATTTTCCAAAAATCGAAGAAAGTTACCTAGATTCGGAAGATTGAGTTGAATCAAAATTTCGTTACACAGTTATGTGACCAAATTTTAGTACAATTGTATCAAACTAATAGTTAACTTGCTTTGGTTTTAAGAATTACTGCAGACGCTGTTGAAATTACAAGTACTGGGTTAGAACCAGACTGTCAAAATGTAACCTCGTAGGTCGTAGCAAAATACATAACCACCGCATTGTCGCTACAACGACCTTTCTGAATTTAAAATGACCTTGAGAGAGTACAATCAACTGGATAGTACCAACAAACCTAAAAGGAATTACTTCAGTTTCAGTTTGGGAAGGACAGGAGGCTCGATGGCCTATGTTAGTCCTGGCAATGGTGGTCTCTCAGTTGATCCAACTTTCTTTTGAAAGAGTCGACGGATGGAGCCTCAACCACGTGCTGAGGTAGTGAATTCCACTCGTTGATGATTCGATGGGAAAGTCGATAGTCAGCTGACAAGTAATTTGTTCTCGGCTTATGAACTTTTTTGGAGTGTCCTCGTAAATTCTCTGTTTTGGAAGACAAGAAAAATGAGGGCATGTTAGGTGCAAATTTATCACTAAGCAATTTGTAGACTGTAATCAAGTCGCCTCTAGTTCTGCGATATGACAACGGGAAAAGGTTCAGCTTGGCCAGTCGAGATTCATACGGAAGCTTCGCTATTCCGGGAACCAGCTTAGTCGCCGTTCTCTGAACCTTTTCCAGAAGCTCACTGTCTTTTTTAAGCAGGGGCTAGCCGCTTGTATGCAGTACTCAAGTTTAGGACGAACGAACACTGTATACAAAGTCAAAAACGTTTTAGCGTCGACATGACTAAAAGCCCTACGTATTGACCATAACGTTCTAAAACTTTGGCGGCTATTGCACGGCAGTGTGCAGTAGTCTTTAAGTCTTGACTAACGATAACTCCTAAGTCATTATATGTCTGGACGACAGGTAGCTCAGTGTTATTCATCGTGTATGTATCTGTGCCTTGATGACCGATATGCATCACAACACACTTGGAAGTATTTATCGGCAACTGCCATGTTTGAGACCATTCAGATAATTCTTCAGGTCATTTTGAAGTTCTAAGCTATCACTCTTACATCGTATCGTTCTCCATATCTTGACATCGTCAGCATATAGCAAGACCGATGATGATAGGAGACAAGGAAGGTCATTTACATACAAGAGGAATAGCACTGGCCCCAAAACTGTACCCTGGGGCACTCCACTAAGCACAGTTTCCCAGCTAGATAACTTTGAGTTCACCCTTACTCTTTGTTGACGCCCAACTAAGAAGTCTTTTATCCACATCAATAAATTGCCTCCAATCCCGACTTTTTAACTTATATAACAGCCGGTTGTGCGGAACTTTATCAAAAGCTTTACTGAAATCAATGAAGGCGACGTCTACAGGTAGCTTTTGGTCCTTAAGAGCGCACCAGCTTTCACGAGCCACTAATAAGTTAGTGAGACAAGAATAACCTATTCTGAAGCCGTGCTGCTTCTCCGAGAGGATCCGGTTTTTATCGAGATACTTAAACAGCTCCTTCCGAATAATCTTTTCTAAGATTTTAACAACCACACTAGTTAGGCTAACGGGGCGGTAGTTCTCAGGTTTGTGTTTCGTACCTGTTTTGAAGACAGGACTTACTATGGCGTTTTTCCAATCTTTCGGTAAGCGACCCTGCGTAACGGATAGGTTAAAGCATGTACTTAAAGGGCTTGCAACGAAGTTAGATAATTCCTTCAGTAGCCTAGGATGTAATTCATCGGGCCCCGTGGATTTACCTATGTCAAGCTTATTTAGCAGACCAAAGACATCGAGTTCTTTAATGGTCACGCTATCCAGTGTATGTATGGGGGGATCTGTATACGCTGACGAGAAGGGCGCTTCTATGGTATATACGTTGCTAAAGTAGTTCGAGAACGCTTGAGCCTTACCAAAGTCGTCCTCCACTAATGATGAAGCAGTACTGTCTCCCCATAGAGCAGGAATATTTCCTTTTCTCCTTGTCCTTTGGTTTATATAGGAATACAAGCGTTTAGGACATTCTATGGATTCCTTAACAAGTTTTTCTTCGTACAATTTTCTAGACTTACGGAGGGTCGAGGCACAAGTGTTCCGAGCCTTTCGATACTGAGATTTTGACTCATCAGTCCCCAGTAACCTAAATCTATCCCACATTTTCCTTTTCTTACGGAGAAGGATACGGACCTCCCTACTGAACCATGGTGGTGAGTTTTTCGGCCCCTTTGGTATAGTCCAAGGGATGTGAGGTGTGGTAACTTTTAAGTATGATTTCGAAATGCGTCCCAGGCCGTTTCAATGGAGGACTCTGGGTCTATTGTCCAATCTATTAACGATGCTGAGTGCATGATGTCTGGTATGTTTGCTTTCCAGACGTTGGGTCTGGACTGGACTGACGCGTCCTCATGACTGGCAGTTATATGGAAGTCGAAAGTTAAAACTGCGTGGTCACTTTTACCTAAGGGGGGCATATGATGGAGGTTCGCAACATCATCCTCATAGTGAGTCAGTATAAGATCTAATAAGGATGATTCAGTGTCCGGATCGTACCTTGTCGCTTCTTTCACATGTTGCACTAGAGCACATGTGATAACCGCATCAACTAGTTCCTGCTCGAAAGAATTCTCCGACGATTTAGTTCGCAGATTTTCCCAGTCTACCATAGGTGCATTAAAGTCCCCTAGGATTAGACATCGACCACTTTGGGACCAAGTATTGAGACTGCTTAACAGGATCTCATTTGCCTCACAGCTTGGACTGCGATAGACCAAACCAATCAGCAGCTCTTGTCCCTTGCATTTTAAGCGAAGACTAACTAATTCACACGTCCCACTCTCATGGGATACACTATCGATAATGGCAAATGGGATAGCATTCCTAATGAATAGAGCTACTCCCCCTCCTTTGCGCTTTTGTGTTCTGTCGGCCCTTACTAACGTAAAGCCCTCGAAATCAAGTTCTATACTATCTATAGCCTGTGTCAGCCAGGTTTCTGTTACTGCGATTATATCTGGCTTTGTAGAGTCAATCTGTACACCTAGTTCCGATCGCTTATTAAGTAAGCTTCGTGCATTGGTGTAACAGATCCGAAGCCTGTTTAAGTGCCTTCGTGCTTCACCCAGAGTGGCTTCGGCATCATTCTCTGTCGAAGTCTTACAACCCGAAAATTTACAATTTTCAGGTCCTTTTCGCCAGCGTCTAACCTATGTTGTAGTTCTTTCTCGGCTTCCCGTCTTTTAACACGGTCTGCCAACGGTAGGTCCTTTCGGATAAAGACTCCTGAACCCTTTAATTTGTGTCCATTTTGTAAAATTAGGTCACGTTCGTTCGAAGAGCCGAATACTACTTTAAGCAGTCTGGAATGATTTGGTTTCGAGTCCGTTAGACTCCCTAGTCTGTACACCTTTAGCAAGGTGACCCCGGTCATATTTTGAGGCATGAGTTGATTAAGCAGCTGCCTAATCAGTACAATGTCATGCTCAAAACGAGCTTTAGGTTCAGAGCTCTCGCTCTCCTTGATTCTATGAAAAATAGCTGATCTGTCGCTATGATCAGCTTTCGATTTTTCAACTACTTTTACGGGGGCAGGTTTCCCTTTTATATCCCTACTTTTCTTCCTTACAACCTTTACCCATTCGTCAACGGTGCTGGTAGAAGCAATAACAGTTGCGTCAAACCTAGTGTTGGGTTTTGGGGGGTTGTCGACGACCTGAGAGGTCGGGTTATGTTTACCGCTTGAAACCGATCGAGCCTTGCGATTGCGGCCCCTAGGTGTTTCCTGTTGGATCCCATCTGGGAGACGGGGAACAGAAGACCCTACTTTTCTTGAGCTTTTGTTTAAGGCAGGCCCCTTTGGAGACTGCTTTTCCTTCTTTGACGGGCGTGAGTCATCTATCACCGGACTAACCTTAGTTTCCTTCACGTTGATTTGCGTGTCAACAGATCGAGTGCTGTTTGACGCGTTCCGACTATGCTTGTTGAAACACTTCTTTGCAGCATCAACCAGTGAGATGGCCTCGGTTAACAAGCTGTTTGCATCCGAGCAGCACTGTTGACAAAGCCACACACAACCCTTCTTACTGAACCGTTTGAAAGCAGCAGGCGTTAAGTTCGTGCAAACTTCGTGGTACCAGCCTTTGCACTCGTCGCACTGCATGCCGCTTTCAACAGGATAACGACAACCCGGACGTTGGCAACTGCTTTTTTTACACTGTCCGGTCATTTAGGAGGGGTTCTTTTCCAAATGCGATGATACTCAGAAACAAAAAATA